AGATTTACAGAAACCATGCCCCGAAAAACAGTTGAATGAGAATATTAGTGAATGATTCACCAATATGTCAATGTAATAATACAAAAAATGAGCTAGATTTTTGCAGTAACTAGTAAAAGAAAAAGTAGGTAGAAAGAACATGTGCTGTGTTTCACTACATACTAGCAAAAAACCAAGCTTCCAACATAAATAGTGACGCTTCATAAGATCCATGAATAGTTGATATTTTGTGAATAACTTATCCATAAGAAGATTTACAGAAACCATTCACCGAAAAACGATTGAATTAGAATATTAGCGAATGGTTCACCAATTCGTCAATGTAATAATACAAAAAATGAGTTAGATTTGTAATAACTAACTAGCAAAAAACAAGCATATACATAATAACCTCTAATACTGCAAAAACAGAGTGCATGAATTGTGAATTCCTCCAATAAGGTTATAATTATCGATAGAAATGAATAACTACATGTAGGCGTCAAAAAATGCTTACAGACATTCAAACACCACTCAAGACGATATAGAAGAATAATATACACGTCATCAAGCAACATATGGCGGCGCGGCAGGACATGGTGCCGCGGCTATGGCGCGGCAGACCAAGGTGCCGCGGCTAAGGCGCGGCAGACCAAGGTGCCGCGGCTAAGGCGCGGCAGCCTATGGTGTCGCGGCTTAACCGCTGCAACCTATGGTGCCGCGGCAGTTAAAGCAGGATGCTACAGCAGTTATAATACAGTTATCTGATGATTATTTAAAGTCCACGTGGCGGAGTATCAGAAATAGAACGTGTGCTGATGTGGAAAAGCAGTTAAACCACGAAAAAGGTGGTTAAAGGTCGTGGGAGAACTGTTTCAAACACGTATGAACGTGGGTGTAACTGCCCCTTTAGCCGCGGCAGTGTCGACTGCCGCGCTCTTTGGCCGCGACAGTGTCGACTGTCGCGCCCTTTAGCCGCGACAGCATCAACTGCCGCGCCTAAAGAGACAGTTGTGGATCGGTTATTTCTTCAGTTATCGTCTAAGGAGTCTATAAATACCCCCCTATGGTCATCATGGACAGGGGCGGAGCATTTCCAAAGCAGATTAGAGCAGAGAGCCTTGAGTTTTGGTGAATTAGAGCAAGAGAGAGAGTCTTTCTTCTTCACAAACATCCTCAAGAAGCTTTTGGCCATTCCTAGAGATCTAAGCTCAGACTTGATCTTTGGAAGAGTGAACATCTTACATCGATAAGATATTCGCTTCAAATTCTTACTTCGATAAACGAAGGAAGAATCATTAAACCCCTCACGGTTCAATCAGAATCTGTGATTTGGTGGTCCACGAGTCAAAGCGCTCCCGGCACAGGCAAAGATCCCACGCAAGCAGCGATCCAAACAACGATCCTGCGTTTGTTTCTAAAAAGTTGTAATTTTTCTTTTGTTGTGTAAAAGAAGTCTTATAAAAAGGCTATTTCTTTTGAATTTGTTGTAATCGACCGAAGATATAATGAATTCCATAACAAAACCAACTTTTGACGCAAACATTAGTCCCAAAAAATTTGTTATAGTTATTATTATTATTATTATTATACTATATAATATAATTATATGATACGATATAATTTAAAATTTTTTTCTTTGCACTGCCACCTAATTACTTTATAAATCAGTTGGTAAGAGGCTATATTTTGAGCCTCAAGGTCCAGGGTCCTAACTCTTGTGATGCTAAATTTTTTCCCCTCCAATGTAAATACTAGCTCTCTCTATAGTCAATTTTTATTTGATTGTGGAAAGAAGGAAACCAGAAAAAATGGAGAGCCAACTCGATCCCTCACCTCCTCGCGGCTCCCTCCTCACTTCTATCTTTTCGATCCTATATTTTACACAGTGACATCAACGTGCATCTTCAAACCAAACATAATTTAAAAAAATTCAACCAGAAGAATAAGCTTATAGTTCTCTAAAAACCTCTCTTCTCCCCTTTTATTTTTAATCAACTGTAGATGGGCATTGTTTATATATATAATACACATCCAAAACAAACATAATTAAAAAATTCTAACCACAAGCATAAATCTATAGTTATCTAGAAACATCTCTTCTTCTCCTAATATTTTCAATCAAAAAATCTATGACGCAGCGGTGAAAATAAAGAAAGCTTTTCGACGAGGACTTCCTCTAAGAAAGCTATACTACGTGGACTTCCTCAAAGATAAACGCCGAAACGGGCTATGGTCTCTTCAAGAGAAAATTTATTCAATTCTAAAAGATGACGGCCACTGTCCCAAAACAAAGTATTTAAAAGAAAATTCTAAAACCCTAAAAGAAGTTTAAAACAAAATTACTATATTACCCAATAGGAAATAGAAAAAATAGTAAATTGTAAAATTGAGACCCTAACTGATCTTAGATGACTGAAAAACAGCGAATCTCATTGCTAAGCCATGAATCTTGCTCATTGGTTTGTTTTGCTTAAGTTGTAAAAATTTTAGCCCATGCGGACACTTTGACTTTTCGATCCTACATAATTTTTTGTCCTACATCACCCTATTTTGAATTCTCGGGTCATCACCTCTCCACATCATCCCAAACCCACATTGATTAAAAAATAGGGAAACAAATTTATGGATCAAAAAGTAAAAGAAATCATGAAAAATTAACAAACTCAGATCAATGTCAAGGAGCGGTGGAGGAGATTAGAGGAGAGGGAATGAGTAATGTGGATTGACATCGGCTTCATATAGAGGACCGTGAGGGTGTTGTAGGATTTGGTGAAGTGTGTTGTTGATAATTTTGGAGGGGTTAATGTTTTGGTAAGTTATTTTTTGGGGTCATTTATTTAGTTGAAACTGTGGATAACATTGAGATGACTTATTTTTTTTATCTTTCTATGTATACTTCCCAAATTGAATATATTTGTGAATTTTCCCTATAATTTTCCATCAGCTCTATTACCAAAATTTAGTTTGATTTTTTCTCTAAATTATGTCCACATGGCAGAGGCGATGAGTTCAGCAAAGTTGATACAACGGATGTGAGTTTACTTTGATATTTATTATATTCATTTGCTTTGATGCTTATTATTTCTAAATTATTATGTGATAATGTCCAGGCTACAAAGGCAGAAAATTTCAAGATTATGATATATGGGATCACACTTGAAAAGGGAACACCAATAAGACCTCATCATGAACAAGGTAAGTGAAGCTTCAATTATTTAGTTATTAATTATTTTTTCTCTTAGTTAGATATATCCCAATGACATATGCTTAGATCCAATAAATGCACATGGTAATTTGTTTCCACATTGTCATATATAATCAAATGAATTAAGTTACCAAATAAAATTAGTGTTAAGCATCCATATACTTCCAAATGAATCTTTGTACGTATAAATTCTAAGTTGTTATCATTCATTTCTTAGAATCCTATTAATACTTCGAAGAGTTCTCTAATACATTGGATCTTTAACTTGTTAAGTTGTTAACTTGGGTTAAGTACTGTAACGTAATTGTGAAGCTTTTCCTTATTCCACTTTTTAGCTTATTTTCACGCTAATACTACGGCATCACACGAGTTAATTTTGCTCATTTACTTTTAAACTTGACTTACATAGCTTAACATTTTCGGAGGTTTTATATGAATATAATTTTTCATTAATATTATTTATATTGGTAACTTCTATGCATGAATGTCAATTCACTTTATGCAATGTCCACATCATATTTTACGTGTGCAATCTTCGTGCAGAGTTTTCACATTTGCTGAATGATAGTATTCGACATGTTTGGATATTATGGTAATTTTTGTGTGATGATTTCAAAACATCATGGTGTTTTTTTTAAAAGTGTTTTTAAAGCACCATGGTAAATATTTTTAGCCAACAATAGTTTCACCTTTTATAACAGTAGAATTAAGCATATATATTAAATATTAATTATGTTTATAATATATTTTCATTATATATATAACTAATAGATTATATATTGCACATATTTGTAATATGTATTATATTATAATACCAAAATATTATTTTCTAATATTAATCTATTTAATTATTTTTTATATAAATATGTTATTGTATATATATTAATTTTTATTAGTAATAGTGTAATAACATTTTATTTTATAATACGATATAATATTATGATATTATTATTATTGTTATATTAATATTTGTTATAGTATATATAAGTTATCATTAATAAGTTAATTACTTCATTATATATAATTAGTTTGTTATTACTTTATAATGCAATATATTATTATTTGTTACATAATATATTACAAATACATTGAAATATATTAGTATTTAATCTTTTTATTTTCTTAGAGGAGTTATTATTTTATTATTAAATATTATTACATAACATGTTAAAATTTTAATATATTATAAAATATATTATTCAAACATTAATGATATACTCTAATAATTAAAATAATATAATAGAATTATCTTTCGTTATATAATTTAACATTATACCATCGCCATATGACTATTTATTAATTGTTATCTATTTTCATTAATTTATTTTCTTTTATTATAATTTACTATTAATTTAATATATAATATAGCATTTAAAATATAATTATTATATTTCATTAACTTTAATATATATAATGATATAAACATAGTATTGATATGCTAGGAAATTAATATTATAATGTAATATATTAAATAATTTATATTATATTATGTTACATAACTAATACATCATATTAAATATATTATTAACACACTATATTGAACGCTATATTAACACCTTTTAATTTTGTAACGCAAACAACAAATTTGAAGCAACTTTTTGGTGTTTTGAAATAAGTGGTGTTTTTTTGTTTTTGATGTTGTTGCATAACAAAAACAACATAGTTTCCAAACACATAATATTTTATTTTTGGCAAAAACACCATGAAAACATGAAAAACATCATGGTATCCAAACACTCCCTATTTATAAGTCTTGACATCAAATTAGATATCCGGCTTCCATCTATTACAATTTCACTACTCGTAACATTCATGATGAGATTATCATTGCATTAAAAATAAAATTGAAGTTAGATGTACAATGCACCAAAGAACTTTGCAATATGTGAATCATTTGAAGATGAAGCTCTCTTCTATTAGCCTCTGTACATGCAAAAAATGCCCAAGTCCAAAGATCTGAAGCTGGAGATTATCCACTTATTGAACAATCTTTCATATAACACCCTGATTTTCGCTTTACTCCAACAATAACCAGGAGAAACCTAATCGTCAAAAATCTCTGAACTAGTTACAGAAGTAGAGATACATTCGCACAACACCTGCAAGAAGAAGATAATGAGAAAACAAGAGTTTGAGATTTTTGTGACAGTCAAATTACAAAACTTCAGCAGCTTGATCATTTATAGACCTAATGCAACATTACATTATAGGTTTATAAGAGTTCAGGATAATTGACCAAGGTACTGATGACTCCAGTTTACAGCTTCAAATAGATTTCAACTCCATGGCAGACCTCTTAAATAGACAAATCAATAATCATTCTAAATGAAAATATTCTATACTGACCTCTTTTCTCAACCCTGGTTTTGTTGTAGATCCTCTGCATACTATAAGGAAGTAATTGATGATTCACGAACAATGTTAAAAACAGAGATGAGGATCTCCACGCTTATCAAAATAATAATAAGCCATTCCAAAAAGTCAGATTTTCTATTTTGGAGAATCTCCTGGAGGAATCTAATATTATGCTGCACAAAGAGAGAGAGAACAAAAAAACCAAGTTAGTCCACTAATTTACCAAATAATACCCATATGCTCTAGGAACATACAAGTTTTAGAAAGAACATTCCCATAAATTACGCAGCATCATTCTTAATGTACCTCAACGAACTTCAACTTAAAATCAAGACTGCCAAATCTTTGAGTTAGTTCATATTCATCCCGAAGATACTCCCAGATTTGAGCATAGTTTGCATTTTTCCAAGCGATGTCAGATCTGTTGCAGAAACATTGTGCTCATAGAAGTTGTGCACTATATGTGCTTGGGATACATTAAAAATCATCTATATATAAACGTTCAATGGAGAATTAACACTTTGATGCTAATATATAGGAATACGAGATATAAAATTGTTCATACTATAATGGTACCGAGTCATACTATGGAACTTCGTGAGAGTGCTTGGGATACATTAAAAACCAAGTTTGGTTTTATCCTAGGAGATCAACTCTGGAACCCATTTTATATATTATAAAGAAGACTGAAAGGAGAATACAAAGAAGCGAAAGGATATGCATATGGTTTTTATTGATTTGGTAGTCAAATTTCTGTCCAATATTGTACATTACTTGATCAAAATCAAAGTGAAACAAATGATCTCTCTCCCAAATAGTAAAAAAGAGGAGCTCATTTCACAACTTAAAACACCAAGCAAGCCAACATAAGACTTAAAAGTAGTTAAAAGTCTTCAAAAAGCCAATTGCAGTAAGATTAATGAACAGGGATAGAAAATCTAAATTTGTAACTGCCACATTCTTTAAGAGAAAAAGAACCCGACAGTGATAAGACTCCAATTACAGGAAAATTGAGGAAACCAAAGAAAAATAACTCATTAACATCAAGATTACCTCTCAAAGAGCCCGAGTTTAAGAATGACATCTGCAAGATTTGAGTTTGCCTTGCCCACTAACTGAAAGAGTTTTTTCCTTTTCATAGTGAAGGTACCAGTTTTCTCCATTCCACGGTTGATATCTGTGAATTCTGCAACCATTCCATCAACCTAAGGAATAAAAGAATAAGTTAAAATCTTTCTTGGTTGCTAAAGACATAGACTACATTTTGAGAATAAAACATACTTGTCGAATATAGTAATCCAGAGCAATACTTTGACCCAGGACACTTCCAATAGTACGAATGCCATCTATGCTCAGAGTCTTGAGCATTATGTAGTCAAGACCTCCTTGCATCCAAGAGTCCAAAGTTGGTTTTTCCACAACTGCATAGTCTGGATTGTTTCAAACTATAAAATGTCAGTAAAAGGCTAGTATCACCTTCATTTGCTCTAGTTCAAGGAAACATGCAAACATAACTATATTCTTGACCAAAGAAATATGTATGCACCTATGTCTTATGTAGCCTGGGTACTTATATATTGTCCAGCATATCCAATGCGGCACCTTTTGCCTTTTAAATTTTGTTTAAGCAAATAATTTAGAATATTTATAACACAACCTAATGATATGCTACTCACATATTCTATCCCCGTTGGTATGTCCATGTCCGTACCTCTAGCTCATTTATAAGAAAAGCTAAATGATATTGCTAATGGCATTAACTGTAATACATGTAACTACAAAATTTCCAGTAGCACAATAAATTTAAAGTAGCGATGAACAGGGGAAAACACAGATCGGGGTTGAAAAGTAAGGAGTGACTTTTTTTTTGTGCGCAGAAGCATGCAGATCAGAAACAGAATGTAGGCTGCAAAAGTACTACTACAACAACCGCCAATTTAAGGAGAATGCCAGTGCAAGCAATGTTACATTAAACGCTGGGCGCTTCTAGGCGTCGGACTTGGCGCCCAGCGCTTAGTCGCCTAGGCGGGCATCTAAGCGGTTTCTGAGCGTTTTTTTCTTTCTTCATTTAAGTGGTGGTCGATGAGGTTTTGCCGAAGGTCGGAGGAGGTAGTGAAGATGTTCATATTTGGAGGTTAATGGAGTTTGGAGGACGTGTAGGCTACGACACATAAAATCACAATCAAGGCCTACAGGGTGCAATCTACGTAAGCAGACAATGCTCCCCTAAACGCTCGTAAAATCGAGGTGGGCAGCCTAAATACCGCCTAGACGCTAGGCGCTAGTTAGGCGGCCTAGGTAGCGCCTAGGTCTAGGCGTACGCCTAAGCGGACTAGGCGGAGGTTTTTTAAAACAGTGAGTGCAAGTGCCCAGATGTGTCTGCAGATTATTTACCATTCAAGCTTTGCAGGTATTAAAATAAATGTCAATAACGAATATTAAATAGGATTCTGAACAGAAACAATGTCCTTAGTTGCAGTCTAGGAATACTTACCATCCTTCCGCATCTCTGTTAGCAAGCCAGAAGCATGCTTTTCGACAATCTTCAGATATCCATCAGCCTCGTGATCAGAAACGTTAAATAGGACAATAGAACCATACTGAAATACTACCATATAATGGCAGTGACTCTCATTTATCAGACCAACTTCCAGACCCTGAAACAGAGATCTTATTAAGTTGCATTTACTATGAAACATGCATCATGGACATCTTGAACAGCATTAGTCCAAGGAAGAGTAAATATACACATTACTGATCAATGAAATACTGACTATGTGAATTCCAACAGCTAAGTAGCAAATTAAAATCTAAAAATGTCAACTCAGTGTCTTGCTAGTTAGGTCAACCACTCGTCAAGATGGAGAGAGAGGATAAGGATCTAGTTCATGAAATTATGTCAGGCTGGAAAAATGTTTCTCATTGCTATCTGGCAATACAGTACATGTTAAACTGAAGGCAAAGCATTACAAAATGTCTACATGACCAGCTGTTACTTTATCATCTCAAATATCAAGCAATTGACAAATGACATCGTCAAGAAAGGAAAAAAGGAGCAGACACGAGGATGTTGAAGGAATTATGGTACCCAAAAGTTAAGGAAAGAAATTATCAAATTAACGAGTAGTTGGAAGAAGTGTAAAGTGAGAACAAGAGAGAATGAATCACACTAGTCCAGGCATATGCACCAAAAGCTAACAAGTTTTCAAATTAGTTGAGTGATAATCTCTAAGTTGAAAATAATGTTAGGACTCGGTGAAGAGCGAAGACCTCGATGAACATGAATGGACATAGTTAAAAGGTAAGGAACACATTAACTTAACAAAGGATATAGCCCTTAATGAGGTTGAATGGAGAAAAAGAATTTGTCTAGCCAATCACGAAGATCTAATGAAGGTTTTATTCTTGTTGTTGCTGCAAAGGTATAATCACATTATAATTCAAGTATCATGTAAGAACCACTTAAATTTATAGAACTATATTAAAGATAAAGTTATTAACCTGTTGAAAGACAAATTATTAAAGTGAATAATGCATAAAAAAATCAAATATAAAGATAAAAAGTTGAAATAGATTAAGATATACGAAATATTTTCAAAAACTATATTACATGTCATATTTCCTCATCCATAATAGAGAAATAAGATTGTTGAAGTATTAATGCATTAATTTCACTCAGTCATGTCATAAGTGATGCATAACATAAGCAATAAAATCAGCATACAACCTGCAAGTCTCGTGAATGAACAAACATCATCTAGAAGTTGGAAAGAGAAGAAAGACATTGTTTATGCATTACATAGTCTGAATCCATTTCTCATGTAATTATGTATACTAGGTTTTATACACGTGCAATGCACTTGGTTAAACATCATGATTAAGTATTTTTAGCTTATTTTATAACTAACATTTGTTCCTTAGTTTCGCTTTAATAGTTTATGCTCACTTTTGTCTCTAAACTTTAATATTGCGATTAGTTATTTTCTTTAATGTTTGTTTAAATGGGCTACACCCAATTTAAATTTTTATGTTAATATTAAAATTGATAGAAAACAAATATAATTTGAAGTAAATTTAAATTTTTATATTATTTTGACTTGACATGAAACCAATCTTTACTTGAGAAAGTACAATGTTGCAAAAAGTAAAAAATATTGAAACAATGTTATACAAAGAAGATGAATATTTAAAACCAATAAGACAAAATAATTACTTAAAAGTATGCTAAAATATACAAAAGAGAATATAAATTTTATTCCTAATCATTGATAGCCTTCATAAAAAATTATAAATTAAAGATTAATGCTAATTCTAGTATACTTTAATATGATAAAAACATCTGCACAAGCATATAAAAGTACTGAAAAAAGCTGCATTCTAGAGATTTCTAAATTCACACAAAATAATTAAACTATTCTATCAAATATTCACAAAATATTATCTTTTACTCCTATTTTTTTACTGAGCTAATATCAATCCTTCCTCATCTTTATCTTTTTCCCGGGCAATTCTATAGTAGTATCTTCGTCATCTACTCGATTGTGACATCGGGCTAGAGTTGTACTTTTTATGCTGTTATCGTTCCTGGGCTCGTTAATCTTTTATCTTATTATTTAACTTCACAAAGAAGTTAAATTATATTTCTGAAATTCAACACAAACTTCTTGAAATATAGACTTTGATCTTTTTTATTTCAATAAGAATAAATATTAATTTCATAGTTATGAAATTCTTTGTGTTCCTAATTTATTACTTAAATAAGATTAAGAGCTATCTTTTTTTCCTACAATAAATTCTTCTTATGTGCATCCAACAAGAGTTTCTGTTACGTCAATAATATTACATTTGTTCTATCCATGTTATTTTTTTACAAAGATCTAAACTAAATTCTTATATTTTTTATTGCTAATTTATCTTAGATTATAATATTAATATTTAATTTCTTTAGCATTTTAAGAACAAAGTATGAAATTTATGAATGCTTACTAATTTTTCTTACATTTTCCATAGAGAATTCTTCTTTGATTGGGATAAAATTATTAAATTATTCTTCAATGTAACTTAGTCGGTACTTCTTTAATAGACATGCCTTATGTTAATGCCAATTCAAATTATTCATGGACGTTTTCTAAATTTTAGATTTATTTTCGTTATTTTCCCATTTGCAATGAAAATAGTTTGATTATTTTGAATGATATCTCTGAACATTCTGATAGTTTCTCCATACGTAATTCATTGCATTCTTTGAATGCTAAGCTATTATATTATAGTCTTTTATCATTTTTATGGATTTAAACATCTATCAATTAATATTACTAATGTGTTTTCCTGCTCCAACTTATTAGTAAAATTTTATGCAGTTGCTTTAATTTATATGGTGATGTTAATTTTTAAGCTATAATTTTTTCTAAATTTTTATTTCTTAACCGGATATTTTTAATCAATTCTTATTGCTTTTGTTTACGAGTATCAACGTAGACTATCTTTAGATGCTGAAAAAGGATAGTAAACCCTAAATTAGAATATATATATATATATATTAATGAAAGAATATCTAACAATTATACTTTTCTTTGCCAAGTTTTAAAATTACAGCCCTTTTTGTGGTTTGGAACTTTGAGGGTGTGATTTGTAATTTTTAAAACATTAGGAGTATTTTTTTAAAATTACTTTTAAATTTGGTAGTTGTAACTTCTATGTTTCATGTGTCGGTGATAATTTTTAAATGTCATGATATTTCTTACAACTCTGAAATTTTGAGGTTGTTTTTTGTAATTGTTAAAACTATTGATTAATTTTTAAAAAATTTAAATTTTAGCGATCTACCAATAGTTTTCAGATTTGATGTGTACTGGTTATAAATTTTAAAATTTTAGAGTTTTTTATAATTTTTAAATTTTGAAAGAGTTTTTTTATAACTTTTGTAACTTTGAGGTTAATTTCGATAAATTTTAAATTTTTAGGTGCATGAGGACAATCTCTTGAATTCATTTTTTGTTATTTGCAAATTTTAAAATTTTTATAATTTTAGGGTTATTTTTTTATAATTTGAACTTTTGAGGGAGTTTCTATAATTTTTAGGATATTAAGGGTGTTAATTAAAAATTTTAAATTCTTCGGAGCTTGCTGTTAATTTTTTAATTTTATGTTTGTTATTTTAAGCTTTGAAATATTGAAATTTTTAGGTGCATTATGGTAATCCCTTGAATTCATCTATGTTGTTTCTAAGTCTTGAAATTTTAGAATTTTAGGTGCTTGTTTGTAATTTAAACTTTTGATAGTGTTTCTATAATTTTAAGATAATAAGATGTTATCCGCAAATTTTAAATTCTTCGCTGTTAATTTCTTGATTTCATGTTTGTTGTTTTAAGTTTTTAGACGTCAGGATAGTTTTTATAATTTTAAACTTTTTAGGGTATTTTGTGTAATTTTAAAACTTTTAGATTTTTTTTGCAATACTTTATGTATTATAGTATGTTAGCTATGTATAATTTCTTTATCTTTACAAACTAATACCATAAAACGATGTTTTAAATTTAATATAATTTTTTTAAACTGTTAAGCTATAGTAGTTTACGTAGGATTAGAATAGGATATAATTATGATTACGTATAATTTCTTTATTTTTACAAACATATACCATAAAAATATGTTTTACATATTTTATTGATATAAAATTTTAAATTGTTAAGCTATAGATATTTCACGTAGGATTAAGATAAGATATAATTATGATTAGGATAGATTAAGATATAAATGAAATATTTAAAATAGTGAAGGGTAATATTGACCATAGAAAGATTTTTCCAGACTCGTGCTTTTAAAGGAAGTATGATTTTGCCGAGATTCAAAGAATTCAACAAGATTAAAAAAATGGATACTACTAACAACTTTCTGAAACCTTACATATGTAAGAATAAATAGAACCTGCAGTTAATATGGGGCACAGATCAAATCATAAATTCATTCAGAGTTTCAAACCTACTTTACTTTGTGACAATAAAACTTTTGTTTTCTTCCTTCCCATCCCCAATTCACTCATTACCTAGGTTTACCGCCTGGGACACTTCATCTAGGGTGGCCATATTCGTATCCAGACATTTCCCGTATCCTTTTGTACATGTCGGGTACTCCTTAGACGGCTACTTGAATATATATTATATATAAATATATATATATATATATTATATATATTATATATTATATATATATATATATATATTATATATATATATATATATAATAGGTGAAAACTTATGTCAACTTAAGTGGATAGGGAATAGTGTGTCCACCAAAGTTTTTAACCACTCACATTGCCTAGGGATCCTTGTATATATATAAAAAATGTGTTTTATATTAATAAAATGTGTGGCTACAAACTTGTGGACATTAACTTAAAGTTGATAGGAGTCTTGCTCTATATATAATATATATATATATATATATATATATATATATATATATATACACCACACAGCACACACACACACGACATTTTAAATTAGACATGTACTCAATGTATAATGCATGTTTTAATTTAAAAAAACTCATGATACACTTCTTGAACGTATATCGTACACTCCACCTCAAATTTATGCAACTCTTTAGACTCGGGATAGATTCGTTTTAGCACATGCCCAATTGATAAGTATAATTTTAGAATGTTGTTTGGGTATCTAGTTAAAAGACAAGTAGGTTTTCAATTTATAATCTACTCAATAAAAAAACATAAAAATAATATAAAGATTTTAGTTCTCATAACATGTGAATGAAAAAAAAATATCGATCTCATATAGATTATTAATTTTGATAGGTAACTATATAGTCGTGTCCTTCTATCCTAACTTCTACAATTTTGTCGTGTCCTATATCCACACTCGTGTCCATATCCGCACCCGCACCCGTATCCGTGCAATATAGCTCGTGTAGAATAACATTATAACAAGTGTGTCTTTTAACCCATCTCCATCCTGTCCTTTTCCAAATTTCTTTCTCCACACCTAACACTCGTAGAAACTTTTTAAATAAACACGATAGCTTGTATTGAATCCTTCACCTATCATAACCCACCCTTAGCTTTCAATCTTCTACTTTATTAGTCAGCCAAGTCTCACTAGCCATCTCAACAAGAATTGTGTTATTTTGTTTTCGTAAGAGAGTTTATCACCACCCAAGTTTGTGTACTCAACCATGTCATATTTAATCCCGCTTCATTCTCTTTTGTTATGTAGGGCACATGTTTTAAGAGTATAGAAGTAAGCTTAGAAGAAATAGAGGGAATGAAAGATTTTTGTTATTATGTTGGGATATAATAGCTCTCTTGACATGGGGCTTGCCAAGTTACAATTGAAATCAAGAATATTTCACATTTCTTCAGTTAATACTTAACTAAAGTATGCTTCCTACATAAGAACGGTTTCATATCAATAGAAACCTATTGCTACTACGAAAATGACTCTTGATAACTTATTTTTACAACCCCTCTCTCTCCCTCCCTCCCCCATGCATACTCTCGAATTTAAATTGCAAGGGGTCTCTTTCATGCCCGAGAATTTGAAATTGTAAGAGGTCCCCCCGGCCTGCTTCCAACGCATTGCTTAGAATTTGAAATTGCAAGGGCAAGGAGATCACGGGCAACACTATGGCTCTATTAAGTTGGTCTTCTCCCCCTTCCTTCTTCCTTTCTCTAAATCCAACTTTCATATTTTAGGGCTTTTTCCATGGAGATCAAGGTGTGGTTGATAAATTTGTTATTCTTATGCAACATCCTTTTGGGCCTTGGCTTCCTGCTCTTCAGATCTGTGATGGCTTTTCGATCACCGTTTTTGATAATCTGATCTCAAAATATGGATTTGGTTTTTAGCACCAAACCAATTTGTTTTTTTTTAGGTTTAGAGCTTATATTTGTTGTTTGCTTGGATCTATGGTTGTTTTTGTTAGGCATGGAATCTTTATTGTGCTTGATACACTAAATAGCTTAAGATTGCAAGTTGGGTTGAGATTTATTTATTGAGAAGTCTAGAATAGAATACTGGGGTTCTATTGCAAAGCAGGTGTTATAGGAGTTATTACAACCAATGAGTTTATTTCCTAAAGAAGCACTCCCTAGTTCAGCACCTTGTCGCCTCCATCATTTGCAACATCTCTTTCTTCTCTAGAGCCACATCTCATGCAGTGAGCCGTTAGGGCCTCCATTAATGTGTCGCCTTGTGTAGCGCACTCAAAGTTTTATATTGAGAAAAGTTCTTAAGCTTAAGCCTAGGTCTTAGGTCATCTTGAGTAGTGTGCTACTGTGCTTAAGCATAGGGTTTTGTTGATCAGTGTAACAAGTACATTGTTTCACTGGGCAGCGTTTGCAAGCAAAAAAGTCAATTCATAAGTCTATTTATTGTATGGTCTCCACTCCCCAGCAATTTGTGTTGACAATCAACAAATAGTAGTTTCATGATCAAATATCATGAATCAAACGGAATGATTGCAAGGGTTTGCAAAGTAGCCAATTTGAGGATCCACTGGAGATCAATACCAAGTCTTTTTTGTTAAGTTTCCTAACTGTCTCGAATTGTTTAGGTGATGATGATGCACATTTTTTGTAGGGCAGAAAATATCATACTTGAGATATTTTCTGTCCTAAAAAAAATAGCGGGGAGCTATGTTTAAGAGTTTATCTTAAAAAAATTAATTTTTACAGCCAGCCCTTTTACCATCAGCTGCAAGCTTTTCCTTATAGGAGTATTGGTATGACTTTAAAGTTTTGCTAAGAGTTTGAAATGTCCTTTCTCGAACTAGATGCATGCACTGTAGCTCGTGTGCAGTTGGGGCCCGAGATCAACAGAGCTCCCATTTGTAACAGAGGTATATGGTAATTGTGGATATCAGTATTTGATAATATAGTCTACGATGTTTTGCTGTCCACAGTTACAAGTGGATAGGTATTTCACACAGTTCCCATCATTCAACTCCTCCTAGTTAAACGTAACACAATCTTCCATTTCACTCTACTACGCCAGCACTCACGGATTACACAACTAAACATGATCGAAATATCAGGAATGGTCTGATTTCATCTGCCATTTCAACAAACAAACTTCCTTGGCAACCTCTCTTAAGGCCTCCACGACATTAAAAAAGAGAGCGAAAACAAGAAATCAACATTAAATCTATACCTATCCATATAAAAAAAGTGAGGCAGAACAACACAGTTTTGCTTACTTGCTGATCGCCCTTGACATCATAGTACCTAAGCACCACATAATTCGTGGCCCGAGAATTCGGCGGAATCACATTGAACGCGTTCTGGGCCTGCAAGCTCCTCAAATCAATACTGCAAAATCCCCCCCAAAACCCGACATCAGAACAACACAAACGCGAAGCAAACCCTTAAAAAAATAGAAATAAAACATCAAAGAGGAATAAAATCAAGCACCTGGTGCACAAGAAAAAGGCCCTTGACGGGATGAATCTGGCTCTGCTCTCTCGCTGCTGAAGCCTCCAGCAAGTGAGTCTGATAACCGTCCTCCTCTGCACAGAAGCGGAGCCATGCTGCTGATTCTCGATGGCGGCTGCTGCTGTCTTCCTCGAATCGAGCTTCCGGGCCGGGGGAGAGAGAGGAGAGGGGGCGGAGGAGGCGGCCGCCGGCGATGCGGAGGGGAGCGGGAGGCGGCGGTTGATCCGGGAGGAAGGAGAGAAGACGCGAGAGACCAGGTGGAAGGGGCGGGAGGAGAAAGGCGAGCAGGGTTTTGAAGGAGCGGCAGCTAGGTTTTTGGCTGCAGGAAGGCGAGGCTGGAGGAGGAGAGAATGAGCTTCAGGGGTTTTTCAAAGGAGCGGAGTCGAGAGATTTCCATTCTTTTTGGAGAGGAGAGGAGAGGAGAGGAGGGAAGGGGGTTGCGCTCCAAGCTTTCCTCTGAGGCGCTGGGAAATTTACTCACTTACCCAACGTTCACTGTTCATACCCTATACCAAATGCTACACTAATATTTACCGTAGCGTTATTACTGTAGCAACATGAAACTGAAAACTGTAGTTTTTAAAAAATATATTACTGCAGCGAATACTATAACAGAGGCGCAGTGGCGTAGTCAGGAATTTTTTTTGCCCTGGGCAAAAAATCGCTGGGCTACGCCACTGCCAGACTGCCTCCATCACCAGCGTCCCCCTTGGTTTCCACGCGAAGGCGAGCAACATGAGGACGGTGATCCAGGTCACCACCGTGGCCGAAACAGCGACAGAGAGGGCGGCGCCCATGGAGAGGAGGCCGAAGACGCCGCCGTAGAGGACGGAGGCGTAGAGGGCCGGCCAACCGGCGGAGAAGTAGGAGCTGGGGCGTAGAGGGCCGACCACTTTCTTTGCCCTGCGGCAGCTGGCCCAGGCGATAAGAGTAACCCTGGCTACGCCGCTGCAGCAGCGGCGGAAATACTATAGCAGCTCAAAAAATCAAAAAACACATATAACAGTTAAATCGGAGATACGTAAACGGGCAAAAAAATATGGTTGTGATTTGCACGGATGTCACACTAGCATATATATATATATTATATATATATATATATATAATATATAATATATATATATTATATAGACATGAGGAAAAGGATGTTGTTTATTATATTATGCCTTCGATAGTAAACAAAGGGATAATAAACGCCATAAGCCGGGTGAAAAAAAAAATCTATTTTATAATTTTTAGTTTCAGATTTAAATAAAATATTCTTTGATTAAAAAAAATTATACGTACACAATATATCAGGTGATGGTAATGTTACTCATCAATGTTGAGCAGACCTTCACGGATAATAAATACCGCCTTACGCTTATTGCTTAGAGGCTCTTTTGGTCCAAAGACTCATCTATCTATCTATCTATCTATCTATCTATTGTTTTACTGATTTCTGAACGCATCAAACCCTGCTTCTTCTCCCTGAACAATCAATTTATCCCTTCTTACTCCCTCCATGTGCTACTCTCACCGCTTCTTAAACTATTAAATCCTTCCATGATTTCTTCCTGAACTACAAAACAAAATTCAGCATATAGTTGCGACTTCATCTTTTTTGCTTTGTGGGTGTTTGAAATAGTCTTATGAGGGAAAAGTGATTGTACAGGGAGTAAGGAGTAAGAAGAGGCTCGAAATAGTTTGGGGGGTGCAAAGTATGAAGAATGGAGAAGAAAACGAATCAATTAAATTTCTTTGTGAAGACTAATAAACTTCCACACGCTAACAAGAGAGGGGGAAAAAAATTTAGATCTTGCTGAGCACTGACATTATTAGAACCCACTTCATATGTTGGACATTCATTACTAGCTTTTCTTTATATTTGGACTCGAGCATCCAGCCATACTTCTCTCGCTTATTAATTACAAGTAAAAATTGCTTCAAGCCCCCAAAATTCAAGTTTCAATGTGTCCTAGCCCTTCATATTTTTTTTAAATGTGCTGCAGCCCCTTTTTTTTGAAAAAATTGTGTCCAGGGCCCTCCATCATGATTCCAGCTCATGATTAGACATGCCCTCTCATGATTAGACATGTCAGCTCCTAAAATCCCAATTTTATCATTTCTCTTTCTCATGTCAGCTCATGCCAGCTCATCCTAGCTCATATTAACTATTATAGATAACATGTTAAATGTTATCTATGTTAAATGTTATAGATAACATGTTGTTATGGGACATATCTGTTCCCCGGATATATGACTTGATGAGTCAGCATCTCAACCAGCCCAACAAGCTGACCCCCCGCCCCCCCGCGCCCCCGCCCGCCCGCCCTCCCCGTGTCGCGCGATGATAGGCGGGCGACATTGCCCACTGTCGACATTAAAAGATCCTGACCCCCCAGACGAGTCGACATCTTTATATCGACTCGAGAGACGATTGTTAGCTGAGACGAGACGACAATCCAACCAGTCGGACAGGCCGACACTCCTGAGTCGACGCGAAAGGCGGTGTCGGTCGACACGAGAATCAGCAACTCAAAGATATGGCCCTATGGACTTTGCTTCTCTACGAAACTAAAGGATTGTCCTTATCTCAAATCCGTCAGCATAGGTGTCACTTCTCAACATTGTTTAATCTTTGATGATCATCATTATGTCTCCGTCCTCGACAATCTTGAAGACTTGTCGGCTGCTGGCTCCCAATGCTGCCGAAGTGATCTCCCATCACTCACAAACCAACACGTGTGGAGCAAATGATGACTTATTTTTCAACTCACCCCTCATCACCGCCTCACTACCGTCTTATTGTAGACTCATGAAGTGACTAATCTGCCATTGGCATCCCTTATATATGTAAATGCTATTCAATATAGCTAGAGGTTCGCAATCTAAAACCCCCAAGAGCACGCACTACACAAAAACAAGAACACATAGCTCTGTTACTCCACTCAAGCTCAAGTTCATCAATTGACTTAATCGTCGGAGGTACCATGGGAGAACTTATCCCCGTCCTCTTACGACTCTTTGTGTGCAGATTGCTCAATCATCCTAAGTCCAGAATCAGACATAAAGTCAAAAAAGAAAACGGCCCATTGCAAACTCCGTGACTTTATTTGGCTGTGTGATATTAAACATCAACACATGTTAACTATTATAATTTCATAAATATGTTTTGAGCTCAATGTGTGAACTGTAATAATTAACATGTTAACTATTAACATGTTATCTATAATAGTTAACATGTTATCCATAATAGTTAACATGTTACCTATAAATAGTTAACATGCTAACTATAATAGTTAACATGAGACGTGAAGTTCCTCGGGACGACGACGGGCGGCAGAGCAGGGGCGAGGGAGGTAGGGGAGGGGGGTGAGGAGGAGGAGGAGGGAGGTGTAAGGGGAGGTGCAGCGCGGGGAGGGAGGTGTAGGAGGGGAGGGAGGCGGAGCGGGGGACGGGAAGTGGGAGAGAGAGGGATGGCGAGCTAGGAGGGAGGCGGGGGAAGGGGGCTGAGGGGCGACCAGAGGAAGGAGGAGGGAGGTGTAGGAGGGGGGGGGAGGGCTGAGGGGGACGCGAGGAGGAGGAGGGCAGGTGTAGGAAGGAGCGAGGGAGGGGAGGAAAGGCCCGGAGCTACGGGGAGGGGGCAGAAGGGAGGTGTAGGGGAGAAGGTAAAATCGGGATTTTATAAGAGTTTGCATTGAAACTTAGGAGGAGGGGCCTGAACACAATTTTTTCAAATTATAGGAGCTACAACACATTGAAGGAAGTTGGTGTGTGTATGTGTGGGTGGATTTTGGGTGGGGGCTGAGGCACATTGAAACTTGAATTTTAAAACCTTTTTCACCCAATACAGATCAAGATGAAACGATCCCGCCAACATCAAAGGGAGCAATGTGCAATTTGAGTATCGGTAAGAAGAGCAAATATCAGTAGCAGCTCCAACAAGCATGAAACAGTCTTCTGTTCTTCACGCATAACATTCATACTAAAACTCAGATAAGCTCCAGTTCAATAACGCACTTACAGAAGGTTTTACTCACGACATTACAGAAACTAGCATTGCAAATGCTAGTTAAGTTGGAACATAAGCAGTAATAAATAAATAAATAATACTTGATGCTTTCCTTTTCTTTATTATCTACAAAGATACAGCTGCCTGATAACAAGCCAAGTCCCGTTACAAACATCACCAAAGTACTCTTAGTATCTTATTATATAAAACAAGGAAAATTCCACGTCAACACCTTGAAACTTCAGCAATTGTCCAGTTTTTAATTCTAGCAAGCAGATCTCCAAAAATTTCTCAGAGACATCAAACCCCAGTTCAGCTCAGGCATCCGCTTGGAAAACATGGGAGCAACTGTTCTGAACCGAAGCAACGCTCTGATTTAGTAGTTCAAAAGCACACCCTTGACCACCCACGAACAAGATTATGTCCCTATCAATAAAAGAAAAGCGTGTTAAACCATAATTGATATAAAAAATTAAAAAAAAAATATAACATATCATAATAAAACGAGGGAAAGTCCACGGTATCCCCATAAGCATCTGCAGAAACCATCATTAGCTTCAAAACTAAAGCGGAAACTGTATTTGGCTACAAAAGCTTCTTGACTAATAATAACATATCAAGAAAATGCATGTAGAGACGCCAACTTTGATAGAATAAAGAAACTAAGCACGAACAAATGCATGTGATAGAAAATATGAATACATCAGCCTATGTAGTAGCCTATGATACCACACCTCTGACTCACTTGTGGGATGGAGAAGATATATCGTATTTTTATAAGTGGTAGGCAAATTTATCGCGTACGGACTCGACTTAATAGTATAGGCTTATCCGTATTATCAATTCATATTAAGCAACACAGGCTTACCCAAATTATTTGATTCACAGGAAATAAGGAAAATGCAAAATTTAGCAATTCAAATAATCTGAAATGCTACAGTTATCATTCTTTTAAAAATTCCAGGTAAATGAGGCTCATAATTGCCTACAGTAAGAAAACAAGTCTACTTGTTCAGTTTCTGCAGTAAATTAAAAAAAAAGTTGTAAGCCACAGATATACAAAATTAAAATTTTCTAAAAAACATTTCTTCAACATTACCCATCTATAGATTTTGCCTTAAACCACAAAGACCTGAAAGAGGTTGCACGAAAACGTAAAATAAAAAGAATT